GTCCTACTCAACTTCTTAAAGTTGTGTATATATATATATATATATATATATATATATATATATATATATATATATATATATATATATATATATATATATATATAAGAAGGGTTCGATCATGAAGCACTAGATTCTTAACCCGCGAATCCATTATTGGATCCACCACTGCTACTAAGTAGATGCAGAATAAGGAGTATGTGCTCTATGTAGCAACAGGCAAACAACTCTTATACAGGGGCAGATGAAGCTTTGTAGTACTAGGTTCATCTGAAGTCTGAACCCAGTACTTTCGACTCGGTATATACATTTATGAGTAAAAATTCACTAAAACTGCCATAAATTCTAGTAGATATGAACACGTAACTATAAAAATATAATGGGTTCAATGAAGAATTTTAAATGTTGAACCTTATAGAGTTTAAATCCTGGATCCGCATCTGCTCTCATAGCGTTTTTATGCAATGAAAAACCTGGACGGAGTTTAAACTATTCCCTCCACTAATAATCTGTTCTTCCTTAGTTTTTCTTTCTTCTGGTACACTCCTTATTAGCAATGTTTATTTAATTCCACAGTTAAAGGGGAGGCCGAAAGTCAAGTTAAGAGTTGTCAATATTTCGGGTACCTGTTTTCTTAACCCCCACATTTTTGCTCAATAGAACACAATGATATGATCTGGTTTCTAACTTGGTCTTAACTACTTGCAGCACTAAATGGGAAATTCTAAAGTTGTTGCACTCTATATCACAATATGTGTGGTTTCTTTTGTTGCCTCAAAGGTTATTATGACAATCCTCTGTTACTGTAGATGGAAGAGAAAGCAAATGGTTGTTCAAGACAGTTTATCTGGTATGATATGAATATATCAGTTAAGATACCATTATGATGGATGAAAAATATCTTACATTTTCTTCATATCCGCATTCAGGTGGAAAGCTAGTGATGTTTAAGTCACCCAAAATGGACACACTGAAGTCCAACATGTTGTTAAAGAAAACCATGAAGCTGACCAACCAAGATATTATAGGATCAGGAGGCTATGGAACAGTCTACAAACTGATAATTAATGAATCAACTTCTTTTGCGGTAAAGAGGTTAAACAGAATAAGTGCAGAACAAGACCGAGGTTTTGAAAGAGAGTTGGTGTCAATGGGTGACATAAAGCATCGAAATATAGTGACACTTCATGGATACTACAGTACGAATCAGTATAACCTTCTCATCTATGAGCTTATGCCTAATGGAAGTTTAGATCAAGTACTTCATGGTATATATCAAGCACTTTAACTTATTTCAGCTTCTGTAGACCTTTCGAGTTTTTGATATGGTGATAAATTTCAAGATGACAACATCAAATGTAGGAAAATCTGCTCCTAGGAAGGTTTTGGATTGGCCATCAAGATACAAAATAGCACTAGGAGCTGCAAGAGGATTATCATATCTGCATCACGATTGCATTCCTCATGTTATCCACAGAGATATCAAGTCTAGCAATATCTTGCTGGATCATAACATGGAAGCTCGAGTATCTGATTTTGGATTAGCCACTTTGATGGAACCAGATAAGACCCATGTTTCAACTTTGGTAGCTGGAACTTTTGGATATTTGGCTCCTGGTATGTTTCTGATTAGGCCATTAGAAATTTAATCTTGGCGTTTGAAGAACTATGAATTATATTATGGTCTGCTGCAGAGTATTTTGATACTGGAAAAGCAACAGCAAAAGGAGATGTTTACAGCTTTGGAGTTGTTTTACTGGAGCTTCTAACTGGGAGAAAGCCAACAGATGAATCCTTTTTGGAGGAAGGAACCAAGCTTGTAACCTGGGTAAACTTTTAGTTCGTTTTTTTCCTTTTTCATGCTAGCTTTTCAAGTTTTAGCACTCTCAGAATCGTATGCACAATGCGCTTATCAGTGAGGTGCAAATGGCTATATTACTATAATTTATAAGTGGCATGAGCCTCTGAACTTAATGGGGAAAACAGAATTCCCAACTCAAAAGTCAATGGGAAATGAGAAAACGCGGTAACGGGAAATAACAGGGTTGGGCGGGGCAGAGAAGCCTGAACTTAAATCTGACCTAATATCAATGCCTTGAAGAAAAGAAAATAAAGAACAAAAAGCTTGAGAGGTTCCTCTTTTGATACCTAAAGATGCAGATGATTAAGATATTCCTGAAACCTCAATCTTTCTCAACCAATCTTATGTCACTTGAAAAGGCACCAGTTATACAAACATAGGCAGATTAAATTTTCTAACTTTTTATTCTTATGATAGGAGACAGATTAACTTTCTACACCATTTGGTCAATGAAGTATAGTTTTACCATTTACGTCATATATTAAGTATCAGTCTTGTGTTGGTTATCAGGCTGATATGATGAACTCCTTCATTAATCTCTTTCTAATTCACAAGATGACATATATTTGGTCACTTAGTGAGCGTTTGGACATAAAAATTGTAAAATTCCAAAAAAAAAGTGAATTTTTTTTTCAAGTGAAAATGGTATTTGAAACTTAGAGTTGTGTTTGGACATGAATATAATATTGGGTTGTTTTTGAAGTTTTGTGAGTGATCTGAGTGAAAATCTTCAAAAATTAGCTTTTTGGAGTTTTTCAAATTTTCGAAAAATTCCAAAATGCATCTTCAGGTGAAATTTGGAAATTTTATGACCAAACGTTGATTTCGAAAAAAAAGTGAAAATTTTTCAAAAAAAAGTGAAAAATTTCTTATGTCCAAACGGGCTCTTAATCTCATTCTATTTTTACAGGTGAAGGCGGTCGTTCAAGAGAAAAGGGAAGAGTATGTAGTTGATAGAAACTTAGAGGAGTTTCCCATAGAAGAAATTAACCATGTCTTTACCATTGCGTGGATGTGCCTTGAGGCAGAGCCATGCATAAGGCCCACCATGGCTGAAGTTGTTAAAATGCTTGAGCAAATAAAAGTAAATGCTTTAGCATGAGACTCTTGGTGTTTCGCTTTAATGCGAATTTCTCTCAAATAATTAATTGTACTTTTAATGCTTGGCTTGCATAATGCTTGTTACCGGTCCCAATACATGGAAACTAACAAAACAATTTTTTTCCAATGGAGCTGCGCTACTGAATCACTGATTAACAAATCAGGGAACTAAAAGCCAACGGGAAGACTAACTCGTTATGGCCTTCACTTGAGCGCAGCTTCCAGTCCATTAGCAACTGACGCTTTGAGTGAAGGAGAAACTGGATCACCGCCAAGAAATACATCGAAGAGAGCAGACGCAACATTTGTAGACTCAATTGTCGCATCTACTGAGGAAGGCGTCCCATCAAAAGAGAGTGAAACCTTCAAAATTTCCATAAAATAGAGCATCGATTTAGAATTAAAAAGGCCAAGAATAAACAAAGTCCACATATATGGGCCTAATAGAATCTTAATGTAAATAAGCTGCGCACTCACAAGCATTTTGGTTGGGTCAATCCAAGTCAAGAATATGGAAGTTTCTTTCTTAAGAGGTTTCCCTTGAAAGACACCACGGAATGTGGAAAGAGCAGATTTATCTTCGGCTGTGGGTGACTTGATTCTTGGAGAAATGGCTTCATCTAAGGCATCCCAGAAAGTTTTACCATCAATGTCTCTGACCAGCACAATGCGTAGTGATTTCTCCAGATTGGCTGCACTTCATTAAATCAACTTTAATTGATATGGTCTCCTCCCATCCCAATAGTCCCAAGCAATTAAACATCACCCGCTTACCTTCAAATATCATGTTGAACAAGGAAGTATCCTGCTGAATTGCTGCAGCGGAATGTCCTCGCCAATCATCTAACCTGCTAAAGACAGAGTCATTGACATAGAGTCCTGCAGCATAGACCTTGACACCAATAATTGCAAAAACCTTTTCCCTGTAACCTAAATTTGCAGGAAGAGAAGCAAGACATGAGCATATAACACAACCATTATCATGATCTAGAAGAACTTGTTGCAGATAAATCAATAATTAAAATTGATTCTTGAATTATTTGGAAAAGATTATTGATTGTATTGCAGCTGACCAGTTCCAAGCAATGACAATGAAGTAGAGCAACCAGGTAGGCTCAGTGATCTTTGAAACTTGACCTTAGTTGCCGGTTCTTCTGCACTTCCAACTGAATCCACAAAAAATAGCCAAGTCATAAATAAACACAGGATATGATTAGGTTTCCTCTTTATTCATAAATGCGTTAAAGGGAAACATTGGTCCACTTGATCTGTCTCAAAAAAAATAGCAAGTGCAGGTTAAAGAGTATTTTACAGGTCGACTCCTCTCTTTGCAAGATGCAACATCGAAAAGTATGATGGTGCTGTATTTACGTTTTAGCTGTGGATGAAAAATGTGTCTACCATCAGATTAAATAGATTGTTGAGGCTACATTCTGATTGGTCATTGCCACTCCAGCATTACAGCTTTGTCTAATCCTGTTCTCATAGCTTGAGGGTCCTTCCTAAAGCGAAATCAAAACTAGTCTACACATTCTCCAAATAGTTCAGCTAGGCGTTAACTCTCAACAAACCAGTAATTCCACTACATTTTGTGCCAAGTCAAAACTTCTCTTCCATACCATCTCCTAATTCAGTGAACATTTAGACTTGAAAGTAATAACTGAAAACTAATTTCTCACGGATACCACTACAAAGCTACGACCTTTATTGATAGTCAATACAGTATATCATGTTTATTTATTCACTACCATAGAGAACATAACTGAGTTTAGATACATAATATTAGCTTAAATGCAACAGAGTATTCTCTCCACCAGCTTCAGGAATCATGTATTTTCTTGTAGCATTCCTATTAATTTTTAGGAAATTTGCATTTATACCATTTAGGGTTTTCAGACTCAATTGTGGCAAATGTGGGACTTGTATGAATATTTAGTAAAAAAATAACATATCCTGCTGGAAAATCAAGATTACCCATAATCTGAAAATCAGGAAGAATCCAGTTTTGAGGGGACTTTTCCTCTTTTGCTCAAAAGGTGTGACTTCAGCTTAACATCTATTAGTAGTAACTAAAGACAATAACTTTTGCAGGAATTAGTTGTATTACCCGAAGAGGAAGAAGCAGCTTTAGGTGTGAAATGGTGTTCATGTCGGCCACTTCTCTCAAATATGGTTAAGGGATAGAGACTGTGGGTTTTGTTGAATAATATTGGCCCTACTGCATTTCTTGGAGTTTTTAAAGGATAAGAAATTCTGGGTTTGGCATTGTAAGCATTGATCTTTGTGGATGTTGATGTTGAAATCCAAATTGGCAGTGAAACGGCTCCAGCCATCTTCTGAAAATGTTAGTAAGTACATTACTCCTATGTTTTATTTTAAAATGTATATTGCTGTAATTATGCAGAACATGTCATAGATATTGCAATGGATAAAAATGATGGCCCACGGACAACAACTTCTGTTCGCATATTTATGTAGCGGTTTGAATTATTGTCATCTGAAGTTCAATCTAAGCTATCCCTCGTTGTAGAGAAGAAGATTTCCGTACAATGACACACTTCTAATCTCATTAACAGCTTTTCTTTTTGGTTTCCCAACTGTGTTCCGTACCCACATTGGGGCTCGATTAAATCCGGCTTCGCGTCGGGAAGTCCCACATTGGGATAAAGCGTTCTCTAACAAAGGCGATTTCATACCAGGGGCTCGAACCCGAGACCTCTGGTCAAGGATGAAGGAGTACTTACCACTCCACTACAACCCTTCTTGGTCTCATTAACAGCTTTGAGTTTTCTCTAATTCCCCAATTAGGCAACTACGTTTGGCAGAAAATTTCAATGGAGTTACAGTTCAATATCTCATAGAGCCAACTGCTTTGAGCTTCATCCTTTTTCTAAAAAAAAAGTATCGCCAACAAGGTATTATTATTTATTTTTTTCTTTCAATTTCACCATACAACTCCAAGAGGGTTTATAGTAAAAAAAAAATTATTTATTTAAAGAATATATAAGGGTATTTTAGTCAAATATCCCTTATTATTGTTGTTACTTCTGTTAGAGATAATTTTGTTAACGGGTGTGCCAGAATATTAAACTATCAAAAATAAAAAGGAAAATTACCAGCTATGTTCATTTATAAGTAGCTCATTAAAAAAATTGGCCAATTGATAAAATATTACTAATATTAGCCAAATTAGCCAATTAGCTATTTATAGCAAAAAAATATCAAATTTTTGCTTTGTTTTGAGTGAGTGTTATTAGAATAGATTGGGCACAACTTAAGGAGCTTGAATCTCAGTTTTGGGATGATTTTGTGAAGTTTTGAGGTGGTTTTAATTGAAAATTCGAAGTAAAAGCTGAACATGAAAAAAATGATATGTATATCACACTGTGTATCATTTGTGTATCACATATGTATCATATTTGTATCAATTATGTATCACATGTATATCCATGTATACATGTGTGTGAGATACATGCATGATACATGTTTGATACATGTGTCGCAGAAGATTTTTTTGAACTCGATTTAGTTACGAATTTCGATGCAAAACCAGTCCAAATCACCTCCAATCTTACTCAAATTTTGTATATTGACTTATCTATATATTTTCAATGAATTTCAACTGTACCCATTGAAAAAGTTCCTTTTTTGTTTAGATTTTTGGAATATTGTATAGATTTTTGTATTTCATCACCTTATTTTCCACCCCGTCCATGAAATTTCCTTTCCGTCTTGTATCTAATGTTGTTAATCACGCTTAAAAATATGGAAGGTGATTTTTGCATGTGATTCTTTGAGAGAAAGAACCTTATTATTTGGTTTTTCAATTTTCGTTGGCTAGTTTTGATAAGTCTATGACTAATGGCTAGAGGTTGGTAAGTTGAGATTTATTTGGGACATTTGTGTAAGTTCCCCAAATAAAAATGGAGGGTGTACATCTTAATCAATAAGAATTAATCAAAGTTAATCAGTTCTTAACAAAAATCCAACCAAGTTAATACTTCTTCTATTCCAAATTATTTGTTGTGTTTCACTTTTACATGTCCCTTAAGAAAACCTTAATTAGAAGGAGTTTTTGATTATTTTGTCATTATTTATGTCTTAAGATATAATCTCTCTTAGTTGAATATTTAGTCTATTTACGTCCATCTCCATCTTCAAGAACAATTATTACTTCCTCTATCTCAAATTATCTGTCGTGGTTTCTAAAAATAGTTATCTTAATTATTTGTCATTTTAGATGTTCAAGACTAAATTAATTATTTTTTTCCTCTTCTACCCTTAATATTAATTGTTCTTGAAGACTACAAATATTATGAGAAAATATTAAATGAAGGAGATTATATTTTAAGACATAAGTAAGGACAAAACAGTCAAAAACCTCTTCTACTTAATATTTTTTTAAGGGGCGTATAAAAGAGAAATACGATAGATAATTTGAGACGGGGGAATACTAAAGGTAAAATGAGAAAAGAAATAATTAGTTATGTCTTGAACTTCTAAAGGACAAACAATTTGAGACATCTATTTTTAAAAATCACGACTAATAAATTGAGACGGGGGAGTAATAAAATTGTATTAGGCAGGCATGTATGTTGGGATTATAAAGTTACATTTTTCCTTTTGGATTTTCCAGCACTGAATGACTAAAAGGGCTAAAGAAGGAAAAATTGTAACTTTATTGAGATATGTTGGTTGAGAATTCAAACATTAACAAGACAAGAATGTACCACAGCTTGCAAGTAGAAGAGTCCCAACATAGTATATAGAAATAACCAAGGTCGTAACAATACATATACATATTGAGCACTAGTCTACAAGCCTCTAAGAGTACTATAATACATAAATAGGCTGTGACAGGGCCCCGTCGTATCCAAAATGCCAAAATTATATACAATAATATCTATCGACTCTTGTATATCAGCTCCGGAGTGCGACAACCAACAGCCGAAGGGGGCACCCTACTGAGTAGGTGTGTCACCCGGTCCATCTGTACGTGTGGGCATGAACACAGTGTCCTAAAAAAGGGGGCATTAGTACGAAAGATGTACTGAATATATAAGGCCGATAACTGTGTAAACAAAAAATATAGTACAAGAAATATGGATACAGAAATCAACCTTAACTCTAAAAGAAGCTGTTGAGGGCGTACAACTGTTGTAACCATGAACATATGTATATGCATGTTTTGTAAAAATCAAGCTACTCAATGGGACCATACAATATAGTATTAAGCTGCTCTGTGCCCAGCCTCAAGAGGGCTCGATTGTACCCGGCCTCAACTGGACTCGACTGTACCCGGCCTCAACGGGACTTTGTAAAGTATCTCATCACATCATAGCCGGCCTCAATAGGACTCGGTTGTACCCGGTCTCAACAGGCCTCGGTTGTACCCGGCCTCAACGGGACTCCGTCGTACGCGACCTTTAGAGGATTCAGTAATATCTCATAATATACCTGGCCTCGAAGAGGACTCAGTCATACTCGTCCATAAAAGGACTCGGTAATACCCAAATGATCAGTGATTGCACAATAGATGCTGAACCCGACCGACTATAGAAAGCCAGCACAACAAGAAGAAAGATGATAAGATGATAACCACGAGACCCCTCACATTAAATTCGCTGGGTTCGTCTTTGATTTGGCCTTGGATCATATATGAGAACTCTTAGAGAAGATTTTAGGGAGTGTTTTGGGAGAGTTTGAAGCTGTTAATATCGTGTAGACTGAAAGAGAAAGGGGCAACACTGCTTTTAATAGCTATTATAGAAAAAAATGGGAACTCCACGCCTCAAGGGTGCTAAACGGGTCGCCCCGCACCGGCCATCACACCAAACTGGCAGCTTGCGCAATCTCGTGGAAAAAAAATGCTAGACCCAAATTTCGACAAACTTATGAATGCAATCAACGTCAAAGGTACGAGGTGTAACACTGGAGATTTAGACTTCAAGCTGAAACAAAGTCGCACGTTAAGGATGAGAAAGAAATAGAAGTTTTCCTATATGCCCTATAGCCTCTCGAATATAATAGCAAATAATCCGTCAATAGTTGCATATAGAGAAGATATGCACACACATAATAAGCAAACTAACAGTTCAACAGATAGAGAAGATATACATCTGATATCAAATAACCAGTCAACAGTTACTATTAGAGAAGATATACATGAATAAACAAGTCCATCTACACATACTGACATAGAGAGAAGATATGTATTATGAATCATTTCATCAATTAAAGCAGCATATAGAAAATATATGCACCCTGGATCATTTCATCAATTAAGGCAGCATATAGAGATGATATGAACCGTGAATCATTTCATCAATTAAAGAAGCATATAGAAAAGATATGCATGAAAGGTCTGTATACACTCCGGAGTTAGCATATAAAGAAGATATATGGTAAAAATCATGTATACATCCAAGGAGTTTGCATATAGAGAAGATACGCAAAATCCAACCACCGATCAATTTTTCATTATTCGTGTGTACGTCATCAAGGAGACTCATGAGAGGACGGCCCTAGGGGGATGGATCCTTATCCACACGCTATACAGATAACTCACGTGCCATAATCATAACAACCGCACGGACAACTCACTTGCTATAATAACTCAACCTGCATGGATCACTCACGTGTTGTCAATCCAGTCTATCACACAAAGAGCATATACAAGAATACACGTATACGAACAATAAATATCAAATCACATACTCATGGACTAAGAAAAATAGTATGTAAAATGTATGCATGTGCGAAGTGTATGACTACAGCTCAGTTAAGACGGGTAAGCCATACAATAACGAGTATTATGTTCAAACAAAAAATCAAAACCTACACATGAATTAGGCGTGTAAAAAATAAATATGACATATAATTTGAGACGGAGGGAGTAATAAATTTGTAATAGGCGTGTATATTGGGATTATAAAGTTACATTTTTTCCTTTTAGTTTTTCCTGCACTGGATGACTAAAAAGGCTAAAAGAAGGGAAAATAGTGTTATAAATATATATATTATATTATGGATGTTCATTTAGTGCTCCGTTGTAAATAAGCTTCCTGAAGAAGCTTATCCATATGAGACTCCGGCATAAATATGTTTATCTATTTAATACTCTATTGGAAATAAGCCTCCTGAAGAAACTTATCATTTCGGTACTCCGTTATGGATAAAAATTACTCCCGGTAGAAGATTATCTATATCTGGTACAGTAGCAGCTTACAAGCAACTTACATGCAGCTTACACAGGAACTTACAAGCAACTTACAAGCAGCTTACACTGCAGCTTGCAGTAGCAGCTTATACAACAACTTTCTTTCTTCTATAAATAGAGGAGATTTCAGTTCATTATGTACATGAATTTGAAATTGAATAATATATCAATCTCTCTCTCTATACTTCTCTTCGATTTATTTACTTTACAGTCTTTATTTTATAACACGTTATCAGCACGAGACTCTGCCATTTTGAGCACTTACTTTGAATTTAATTTATA